TTCTTAAAACACACAAACACACACACACACACACACACACACACACACACACACAGTGATACCTTTAGTAAAAACTGAAATGTGAAGAGCGGGCACTAACAGCCCCAGGGAGTCAAGCCTTTTTGCTGCTTCACTGATTTGCACCAAATCTGTTCCCCATAACAATCATATACTTCTATTACTATGCTAAATCTACTGTCAAAGTTTCAAAAGAAAAGGACAAATAATCAAGCTCATTAAGCTGTTAGCACATTTATTCACTCAACTTATATATTTACTCAGCAAATAAAAACTCACTGAAGACCCCATACATGCAGAGTATCAGGCTATATCATATTCCAAGCCCTACATTAGGATCTTGGGGGAAACATGAAAACAAAAAATTACAATACACAGAAGGGTTTTCGACAGAAGTCATCATTTGGGCCAAGTCTCAAATGATAGAGAAAAATAATGGTGAACAAATGCTTGAAAGATTATTCCAGGTAAAAGTAATCATATGAAGACTCATTGACTTTTGTGGGACTTGAACTTAGGCCAAACACCACTAACTGCCAAGCTCTCTTTACTCTACAATTCTGCATTTAATAGGCTTCTGCCCAAGGGCAGTTTTTATCTATTTACTTTTCTAGGCTACCAATTATATTCTGAATCAGTGCTGTCCAATGGAAGTATAATATGAATCACATGTATGATCTTAAATTTCTTAGGAATCACATTAAAAAAAAAAAGCAAAAAATGTTTTAAATGGCAGTGCAGACAGTGGTGACATGAGCTGCAATGCTGGAGGCCATGACAAACTGCACATTTGACCCCTGGGTCAGCTGGAAAACATGTCAACGTGTGCACACGTGCCCAAGAGCTGAAGGAACTAGAGGGCTGGAGAAAGAGATTAAAGTATGATGAGCCTATGAAGGGTGTTCCTCCCCCTCTCTCATTTGTATGCAGGTACACTCTACCGTGAATAAAATAAACTTTGAAGAAAAAAAAAAAAGCAAAGGGGCCAGACAGTGGCGCAGCAGTAAAACAATACCCTGGGAAACAATCCCACGTGGGAAGCTTCACAGTTCAAGTCCAAAGCCCTCCCCGAGCATACCAAGCACGCAGGTGTCAATGATGTATGGTTGGCTGAGGCCAGGGCCTACACTGTAGTGCGGAGACCCAGGAGGTGTTCTCGCTCTCTCTTTCTCTTTCTGGCTCTCTCAGTCATGGAAAACATAAGTAAACTTGAAAAAAAATATATGTAAGTAGATATGTGAGTCTTTAAAATCAGCTGTATATATTTATTGTACAATTATAGCGTGACTCAATTCAGACTAGCCACATTTCAAGTGCTCAACAATATTGAAATGGCTATCACACCGAACAATGTAGTTCTAGATCAAGATCAAGGACCAGAAAATTTTTCTGTAACAACCCAGATAGTATTTCTGGCTTTGCAGGCCATCTAGTTTACAATGAGTTAGCTACTCAACCCTACTGTTGTAGTGTGAGAAAGCACCAAAAACATAACGAACATGTCTGTGTTTGTCAGTCCTGTTCTAGATGGCTGTGAATCTGGTGGGCAAATAAATACAAGTACAAGGGATCTTTAAAAAGTTCATGGAAGGGCTAGCAAGTGGCATGGTGGTTAATGGGGCTGGATCTCACATGGCCAACTTTGCAGGTAGGCCCCCAGCCCTAGTGGCTTGAAAATTATGTCAGGTGTGTACTTGTGTGTGCCCAAAACCCAAAAGGAGAACAAAGGAGAAGAAGAGACCACAATGTGGCCATTACTCTTGAGGGGTAATTTCTCACTTTCTCTCTCTCTGGAGAATGCACAAGCCCTATAGCAAACTTAAAAAAAAAAAAATGTTCATAGAAAACGTGTATTATAAAAAAACCTGCTAATTTCAAAAATTTGGGCACCAAATAAATTTCTACTTTAATTTCATTTTCCACAAACATTCTTTAAGTCCCCTCACGTGTACAAAAGATCTTTCACAATGTAACATAGATATGGTGAACACCGCCGGTTGCTTCCCCAACAAGGGTGTATGATAAAATTGTTTTACCAGAATAAAATCAAAGTATGAGCAGCATGAAGATGACCAGCTCC